CACCCAATCCATATAATAATTGAACACAATATTTAACGTAGATAAAATCGATTTACTTTGAAAAGTAATTTTAAAAATTATACGCCAAAATAGAGCAGCTTTCTTGTAGTGTTGAATTTATTTGTCCGAAAACCCAAGAATCTAAACCTAAAAACCTATGCTAATTGAATATTCAATCTCATACCGGAAAAGATTCTTATTTGCGGAAAAAGATTCGAATCTTAGCGAATCTTCAATCAATTTCGAATGGAAACTGAATCTAAGAATCCAAGAATATCGAAATCTTTACCACTTTCCAAATAACAACGCAAACAACAAATACACCAAATCTCGATATCTAGATAGAAAGTATTTACTTTTTTTAAAACTTTACTGAAAAACCTTTCCAAAAGCCCAAGATTCACTTAAAGACTCTATATTAGATCATAAAGACCATGGTGCCACCGAAGTAACAAATCAAAACAACTCTAATCCATACCCAACCAACCTTTTATATTCATGATTTCAACTCTAACATGCCATCTGATAAACTATGGACACGGATGAATTTCTGGAAAATGACCACCCTATGAAACATTACCATCATGTTCCACATCTCAAATAATGTATATAATTCAGTTTTTAGACGTTTTGGTGAACATTCCATCTTTCAGTAAGGTAAAGAGTGATTTATCAAGGTTGACTTAGGAAATCTTGAATATAGAAAACCATATCCTCAATCAACAAAATACATATCAATCGATTGGAAATCATTAGTACATCTCGAAAATATCATTTATTTTATGTTTTGAAATCTCTCCTTTACCTCTTTTGGTCAATTAAGACAATTAAGGATGAGAATATAGGAAAAATTACCAATCTCAAAATAATTGATAATATCGAGTTCTACATCTCAAATAAAGTGGACTTTCATCAAATTATATGTTTTCATTTCAAGAAATGCATTCAGTAGATAGTACATGGTGATATTTCAAGAGAATGGAAATCTGAAGGATACAGAAACAACTCCATTTTCACTGAAATTGATATCATGGTATGCAGACACTCCAATTAGTATGTGGTATCAATTTCATGAATATTGGTTCAGTAGATGTCGAGATGTCAACTCTATCAATTTACTATAGATATTTGACATGATATCATAGATTATACTCCAACTCACTCATTTTACATATAACAAGTCTAGAATTGATACCACATAGTCTATATATCAATTAAATACATCTACAATAGTTTAGAAACATTTCAAACTACTTTCATAAAACTA